TTCTCCATTTATCCTTTAGATCAACCTGTTAAAAAGAGATAATAAAACCTGATTCCAAAGAAAGATGAGAATTTTATATTTGAAACTATCAAAAAATTACCTCAGTTCTTTCTTCAAAAATGCTAGGGTAACTAATCAGGATGGTTTTCCAGTTCCCTTTACCATGCCTGAGAGATGAAAAGGAAAGCAAATCATAGAAAGAGCATCAATACCACAAATGAAGATTTCAAGCTTTAATTTTATCATCCTAAACAAATCTGAAGCTAGCTTAAGCTTTCAGGAAGTCTGGGTTAAAGAAAGAAATCTAGCACCTAGTTTGTCTAACTACAGAAAGATATTCAACAAACTATGATTTTGTTTGGGACGATTTTCTTACTGCTTCTTAAATCAGCTTTCTAATACAAATTTTTTAATTTTTGTACTAAAAAACTGTTTTAAGAAGTAGTAAGAAAACCGTCCCAAACAAAGCCTAAGGCTTCATTTATGACAGCTTTCTTACCGCTTTTTAAAGCAGTAGAAAGCTGCTTTAGAAAACAATAAGAAAGTTGTCCCAAACAAAACCTAAGGCTCCGTTTTGGACAACTTTCTTACTGCTTTCTAAAATAATTTTCTAGTATAAAAATTATTTAACAAGAAATTTTTTGCTAAAAAGATGATATAGAAAATAATAAAAAAGTTATATCAAACGAAGCCTAAGACAATTCAAATAAATACATACTCTCTCACAGCCTTTAGCAAAGTCTCTTCTTCCAGCAAAGTCCATTTCCTCACTTTCCTTCGTTTAGCATATCTTTTATCACCAATCAAATTCAAAGGTGAAACAGGTTCCCTTGTTGGGCTATGTAAATGAATTCTCCCTTCCGGACGTGGTGAATCTGTCCACTGCAAAACAAAAGATCATTAGATCAAACACTTCTGAGATGGCATAGCACCAAATGCAACAACTAAATCTAAAAAATTATGGTACAGTGAAGCTTAAATTTAGAATATTTGTAAATGAAGCAAAGATTCTCATATAATTATTGAACATTTGATAGCATTGGATCTGCTATGCACAATAAGAGCGAAAAAGACGAGTAGATTCACTAAAAAGGCTCAAGTGAAGAATAAAGTACTTCATACAAAATTAACATTCTTGAAAAAATGCTCACGAAAAATCCATCATATGAAATTTAGCCGAAAGAGCAATAATGGAACACCAAATTCATGTTACAAAAGTAAACAAGTTTTAAATTTCAGGAATGTTTCATAAATAGCTATTTAGCAATTTGTATCAGTGTCATTATTTATTATAATTAGGGGAATCAATTCATGAAAACAGGTCAGGGGTGTTTAGGTCCGGCCTAATAAACGTCTAGGTGGATCAAACTTTTTTAATGGGTTAAAAATTTCAACCCGAACTCAACTTGACTAAAGCTTAACCCAAGATGAAAAACACTTAACTAGTGTTGAGTTAGTGTCAACCCAATGAAAAATGGACATGATTATCCGATTTAGATGCCATAGCTTATTTTTTTCCTCAATTTGATTTGAATTTTTAATATATAAAAAAAAAGAATCAAGTAGGTTAAGACATTATTTTCAAGTTGACTTGAACTCGACTAAACTCAAAAATGGTCGTGTCGGGCTCGATTGGAGTTTTTGAGCTATTCTACTCACAATAATAGAATCAAAAGGCTTGATAACAATGAATTTATCATAACATATTGACACCCTAATTATAATTATTTATCCCAGAATAAAGCTTTCCAAAATGTGCCTGCCAATTTTGTTGCTTCTGTTCACAATAATGGAAGCAAAATACAGCATATAACCTGTTCTTAAGAGCTTGATGCCAATGGGTTTATCCAAACATGCCAGCATGGAAGATCTTTCAGTAGGGATGATATCAAACAGTTCTAGCGAGTTAAACTTCACTCAAACTCAAATTCGATTATTGGGACTTAATTCTAACTCAACTTAAAATCCAAATAATTTCAAGTTAACTCAAAATCTTTTTCAGCGGACTAAAAAACACATGCAGACTTGGAATTCAATTTTAAAGACTTCATGACCATATGAAACCAAACTTCATGAAACTTAAAAACCAAAGCATAATTGCTTGCAAAGAGAAGGTGAAAGAAAATTGAAAACCAAAGCACAAAAGCCTTAATAATCACACATAAATTTGTGCACCCATAAGGGTTGCTTGAAGAGTAGATGGACCAAAAACTAATCTTATTAGTTAATAATAGCAGAAGATGATAGAAGAGAAGGAAAATCTAATAAGAAGTGAGAGACTGATAGAACCTTGCCGGAACCCTTCAAGGGGGCCTGAGGAGAAACCTCCTTCAGGGTCCTACCAACTTTAGCCAAAGATTCTTGAAGAACTTTGATTAAGGATTCAGAGTAGAGGAATACAAAAGAAAAATAGGCATTTTCAGTACCTGAGTTGGTGTGAGAAAAATGAATATTTGTAGGACAACTAAAGTTTGTAAAACATGATACTTTTGATGATATCATAAAAATAAAATCATGGTTGTGAGCATCCTGCGTCACAGAGCATCCAGATCATGAAGAAAATTAATCTAAGAGATGCAGAAGATTTAACTTACGCGCTATTAACTTTCTATGAAATATGCTTTCAGAGGAAAAAAGTTAAAAAAGAAGTGACAGTAATGAAGGTTGGATTAACCAAAATTTTAAAACACATGTCATCTATGTCTACCATTTGCAAAGATTAGGGAATGATAAATGCTTTCTTTCAAAGAAATGAAATTAGAAATAACAAATCAGACAGTAAAGTGACAATAATGAGGATTGGATTAACTAAAACCAACTGCATTAAAATGATCGTGTATTCCTTGGCAACCAGAGAAATGCTATTGTACTTGAGAGATAAGGGAATTCCCTATAGGACTCATTAACCGTAATGGAATTACAAAACACAGATTTTATAAGACAAGAAAGCACCTCCAATGTATGGGCAGTTGGGTTTCTCTCCATAAGACTAGCTCTAGGAAGAGAAGCTGAGCTGCTATTGTTTTGTGTGGAGTAGTTTTTCCCGTCAGGTGGAATATCAGGAACCTTCTCCAAGGAAGCCATCTTTGCACGTACATCCTGCCCATTTTGATTTTCTTCCTTTTCCTTCAAGCATGAAGGTTTCTGATGCTTATTCAACGTGGCAATTTTCTCATTTCCCTCAATACTAGTATGCTTGGTACCTATTTTAGAAGTAGACGCAATTTCATCCCTTCTGTTCTGAACATCATTTGCCCTTAACTCCCCACTGTATGCTTCTTCTGGATTCACTGCTTGTAGCTCAATAGCTTTGTTTGATGCGTCAAGTAGGGTGTTCCGCACCATACTTTGAAGATCCAGAAAAGATGCTTTTAAGGCTTGCTCATCATCATCTGACAAAATCAGAATGGTATATGCTTAGCAAGTAAAGACCCATAAAAGCTTGCAGGAGGGTAAAGATGCTATCCTAGGCAGTATCAATTCATAATACCAACTAATTTATGGAAAAAAAAGGATGCGTGATAACACAACCTACTTTGCTAACTTACTGAAATTTAAGGAGCTTTGTGCTAAGGTTTTCCACAATTTAAGTGAAACAATAGAAGGGACAAAGGTTTTTGTTGCCTTAGCATGAAGGTTAGAGATACTCATTCAAAACAATACCTGTTTGTTTCCCCTTAGTGCCAGCGACCTCAGATCCTATTTCAGAATCAGCAATCAGTTTATCCCTTCTGTTCTGACCATTACTTCCCTTACATTTCATGTTGCATTCTTGTTCTGAATTCTCTGCTAGTAATTCAGAAGCATTGTTTCCTGGATCAAGAAGGGAATCTCGCTCTTTCTCAACACCTGATGTAATCACGATTGCATATGCTTTAGTAAAAGATGTTAGTACTCAGTATAGGCACAATTCATGCTCATCCATACCCAAATAGCTACAAAAGCTTCTAGAGTTTGGGTAAAATTGTGGTGATATGCATGACAATGGCAGATATTTTAGACGGTTATTAAAAATTAAAGTGAAGTTAGTCCTGAAGAATATGCATGATGTAAAACTTTAGATTCATATGAGATACATTTTGAGACTTCGAAACATATGATGATATTACTATATTTAGATTAACAAATCTTTCCAATAGAATCCTAAAGACAAGGAATGTCAATCAATTAGATACTAAGCACTTGTATGACAATATTTAAGAATAAATGAAATGTTCATGATTGTGATAATTATAGAGAATTTAAACTTATAAGTCATGCAAGGAAGTTATGGAAGAATACTTGATGTAGGCAAAGCTGGTTGTTTGGTGCTCTATGTTTTATTCGGATTGTGTGGTGGTTGTTGGATTTCCTGCTGAGTTTCTATAAAGATTTCGGTTTCCCAAATGCTTGGAATTTGTTTTTTTTCTGGTTTCCTGTGCTGGTCGTTCCCCTTCCCTATGTTATTTAGGACTGCTTTTTGCTGCTTTGCTATGCTGGCCGTTCCCTTCCCTATGCTATTTCCTAAGTTTTGTGTTGGCTCCTATTGGATGTTTGGGGTGGCTAATTAATGTGAGTGGTTAGCTATTTTTCCCCTATAAATGGGGTTGTTTTGCTACAGCTTTAAAGAAGAATGGAATGATTTTTGGTTTACAAACCTACGGGTTTTTCTAGCTTGCGAGCTAGCCTCTTTTCCCCTTTCCCTCTACTACTTCTCGGTCTTCTACCTCTTCTTCTCTCTCCAGGGTTCCCGCCCCACATATATCTTTCTTCTCTTAAATTATTGTAAGTCTTAAGTTGAGTCATGTCTTGTTCTAATATAATTTGTAAGTGGTTTCTATTAGAAGTTGAGCTTGGTTGTGTTCTGTTTAGTTATTGTACTTTTCATATTGAAATGAATGTCTTTTTTTTATTTTATTGCAATTCTAGTTTGGTATTTTTTTTCCATACCTAGTGTTCTCTTACTTGGCTTAGGATTCTTAGGTTGCACAAATTTGATATCAGAGCTTTAGGTTTTTGAGAATCTTCATTTTTCTTTAGAAAAAAAGTGGATAGTCCAATCAATCAACAAGCTAAAATTTCAAATCAAGATTTAAAGGAGTCTCAAGATGAATTTGATCCTACAGATTTTGAAAGTCAGCCTTCTATGCCTTGGATTCCAGAGGAGAAATTTCCAACCACAAATTGGGTTCCAGCACAAGTATGTTCTACTAATCCTCTGCAGAACGAACTTTACAGAATTCAAAGACGAATGTATTTATGTGCAGAAAAATATGAAAATAAGAGGCGTCTACTTAATCCGAGTTTATTCGAAAAAAAAAGAGAAGATTCAAAGGAAGTACGACATTTTGATACAAGAATAAAAAAGGCGCATTCGGAACATAATGGAAGTTCTAATGCTATCTCATCAGGGGATGAGATTTCTCCACCCAGGGAGAATTGATGTAGGCAAAACTAACTGTTTGGTGTTCTATGCTTTATTCAAATTGTTTGATGGTTGTTGGATTTCCTACTGAGTTTTTATACAGGTTTCAGTTTCCCAAATGCTTGGAATTTGTTTTTTCTGGTTTCCTATGTTGGTTGTTCCCCTTCTATGCTATTTAGGACTGCTTTTTGTTGGTTTTTGTGCTGGCCATTCCCCTTCCCTATGCTATTTCTTAAGTTTTGTGTTGACTCCTATAGTCCTATTTGATGTTTGGGGTGGCTCATTAATGTGAGTAATTGGCTGTTTTTCCCCTATAAATGGGGTTGTTTTGCTGCAATTTTAGAAAAGAATGAAATGATTTTTGGTTTAGAAACCTACGTGTTTTTAGCTTGCAAGCTAGCCTCCTTTCCCCTTCCACTCTACTACTTTGTCTCGGTTTTCTACCTCTTCTTCTCTCTCGACGGTTCTTGCCCCACCAGTATCTGTCTTCTCTTAAATTGTTGTAAGTCTTAAGTTGTGTCGTGTCTTGTTTTGACATAATTTGTAAGTGGTTTCTATTAGAAGTTGAAAGCTTAGTTGTGCTTTGTTTATTGTTTGTATTTGTCATATTAAAAGGAAGGTTTTTTTTAATCAAAAGCTTTAGAGAGTAAAGCCTAGATCTTCCAATGGTTTGTTTAAAATAAAATTGGAAGTGAAAATTATGTCACATCGGAAGTGAAAATAATAGTTGTTGCAAACATACAGTAGTTGGCCTTACCCATTAGCTTAAGTTTTTGGGCTGAATAAACATCTATTAATATATTAAGCTCAAGTTAGACTCTCGATGCAATGTTGAATAAACATCTATTAATATTTTTGAGCTTAGTGCTAAATTTACTAGCAATGCTAAAACATGACTTCCGCTAGAAAGAGAAAAGAACCAACTCGCCAGCATTCAGCAGTTGAGAAGAACTCTTACTGATTTCCAAACCTTTGTCCTGATCCAACTGACCATCATACTCATAATCAGAATCGATAGGTTCAACAATTTTATTTTGTGCCTCCATACCCGCTTTCATTAAAAGACGTTCCAACTCAGCAGGCTCAGCAAAACCAACTCTCTGATTCTTCAAACCTGATAGTCCTTCTCTGGGGTCCTTCATCTCTCCTGGAACTCTCAAATCTGCCCTAATCTCCTCAATGTCATCTACTGCTACGGCCACCTCAGGGAACAAAGGCTCCATATCCCACACCTCCTCCAGATAACCCCGAACTCGATCCAGTGTTTCCTCCAAATCGGTACTGACCACCAAAGGCTGAAGCTCCGGATCCTTCACAACCTCCCAAAAAATATCCCTCACCTCCCGAAGCTCCTCTGAGATCAAAGAAGCCGCCGCTGACTTCTCAATGTCGCACATGCGCAGTATCCATATCCGATAGAAGGAATCAAGGAACTCATCCACATTCTTACGAAGGGCGGCAGCGGTGCACGACGATGCAACGGCACAGTAAGCGGCCTTCATAGACTCACAAGGCGGTAAGCCGCCATTCTCGCGGTCGACTTCCTCGATGAGCTCGAATATAGTTAGGGTTTTCTCAGAGACAGAACGGTGCACCAACTCGGAGGCAAGTCGCCGGAAGAGGATCGCCTTCTTAAGGCTGGATGAAATTGGATTGACAAGGGGAAGGGCGAGGAAGACCGCATTTACGACATATTCAGGGATCGACCGCTGCCGCACGAGGAACTCTAGGATCGAAGAGGCAGTGTCGTTGTCCAACGTCTGGAGGTAGGTAACGTCGAAGCATTTGGCCCCGCCGGTGGTGTTGGCGGCGGTGGATGGTAAGGGGTTTGAGTTTTGGGGTTCGGGATTTGGAGCCTTGGCCATTTGGCGAAGGAGGAAGCGGACCAGACTTGCACTGTGAAGCGGAGAAGATAGCCGCTTTGCAACGTTACGCTATAGGGCTTTTCATTAAAATTAGTTAAAAAACGCATGCTTATATTAAATTAAAAAAAAAAAAACTTCAAATATATTTTTTCTCAATTTTATATTAGATATTTAGATGTATAATTATCAAATATATATGTAAAATTATGGCTCAAATTACTTGTAGAGGGAGCTACCATATGCTACAAGTTTTCTCAAGTTAAAAATCTGATTCATGAATCAATTTGAAATCAAAGTCAAAATTTAAATAAGTTTTGATTGAGATTCGAGTTTTGACTATTATCACAATAATTTTAGTTTTTAAAAGAGGCAATAATGAACATAAAAGAAATTTTTTGAGGTTTTAATTAAAGATAATCAATCTGAAAGAGAGAGGTAGTGGTGTCAATAAATGATCCCATGAGACAATCCGACAGAGGCCTAACTCAAAAAGTTAGAATTCTGATCTAAAATATTGACCCAATTAATTTTCAAACCAGTTTTAGTTGACCCAAAAGCTCCAATTAGACTTTGCATTTGCCCAATTAAGATTATAATTCACGTCAAATAGGTTGAGTTCAGGAAAACGCATGCTCTTAGACATAGTTTGGGATGACTTTCTTACAACTTTTTAAAGCAGCTTTTTAGAATATTTTTTTTTTAAATTTTGTACTAAAAAATTGATTTGAAAAACGGTAAGAAAGACGTCATGCTTTGTTTGGAACGACTTTCTTACTGTTCTTAAAACATCTTTTTAGTACAAAATTTAAATTTTTATACTTGAAAATTATTTTAAGAAGCATTAAGAAAGCCGTCATAAATGAAATCTTTAATTTGTATAGCCAATAAAATAATCATTGTAGTAGTTCTTTAAAAAAAAGGGTATAATTGCAAATTTATGATAAAATATATTTCATTACAATGAATACAAACACATGAGATAAGTGCACACTAATGCACTAAATACAAACATCAACATAGTTTTATCAACCACAAATTAAGCATAAATGTAAAGGACATTCTATAAAAATATACATCAAAGATGGTGCATATGACAATTATTCATTATAAATTTTATTTCATTCGATCTTATTTCAGAATAAATATTTTTTTTTCTGATATTTTAACACCCACACTTGCACTGATCATCGCTAATGCACTTAGTTGGCTTAAACGGCCACCTGCGCAAGCACTCGCACAGCTTTGCTCGGTGCACCCTGGTAATGTTACGGTGGTCCCACAGACAATTTTCTCCGCAACAGTCCTCTTCGCTGTTGCCTGTTGTATCGTCCCTATTGAACCATGTTTGCATTTTAGTCATCATGAAAATATCTATTTACATCTTATGTTTACAATTTATTTATTTACTTTCATAAAATAAAATTTGTAAAGTTATAAATAGTAAATACTATTTTGATGTTAATATATTGTATTGCAAAATATTTTTTCAAAAATAATGGTTATTTAAGAAAATATGCTAACATATTATTAATTTAATACTATTATCTTTAATTTTAAATTAATTTCATTCATTAAGGGACGACATAAATTAATAATTTTAAAAATATGCTTCATATTTTCATAAAAAAATAATATCACTTTGAGAGATTTTATGTAAAATTTAATCTTTTTTGAAACGGATGATAATTATTAAAAAAGAAAAACTTTCAAACTTGTTTATAATAATAAGATTTTATTTTTTTATTAATTCATTAAATGATAAAAAATTATAAAAAAAATGCTAATTTTTTATTTAATAAAGGTTATCATTATTGATATTAATGATAATAATTTTGTAATTATTAATATTCATAATCTTATTTTAAAAAATTAGTATTATTTTTGATAAAGAAAATGTAATTTTAGGATTCATTACTTTTCAATCTAATGACTAAATTAAAAAAAGAAAAATAAGAATATTTCACTTTTTCTAATAAAATCTATATTTTGAAATAAGTTTATAAATAATATTATTTAAATTTTGAAGATTTCATATGACAACATATTCAAAAGCAAAATGAACTCTGCTACATATTTTTAATTAAATTATATGTAAAAATTATTTTAGAAAAAAATAAAAAAAGAATAAATGGAATGAATAATGGAGTGAAGGAACAGACCGAAAGCGGGCAGAAGAACCACAAGGAGCAGAAGAGCAGCCACCATTTTGCGAGAGAGCTCCATTGCAAATTTCAACGACCTCTATAGAACAAATGATGGAGCTTAGAGTTTTTTAATACAATAACGAACTCTTATGAGCTTATTTGCAGACTAATCTTGTCAAGCTAGCCTTTATATAGAAGAAATGGAGGGTATTTCAGACATTTCCTAAGCCCATGGAAATGCATTAGATTTATTTCAAAATTTTAATATAAATTTAGGTATAAGTTGAGAGCAGGTGTGAGCATGGAGAGGCAGAGAGATAAGGGGAAACTTGGTAGAAAATACAAACTTGAGATGGTAGATCATTTTATATAGGGTTTAATTCTCTCTCTCTCTCTCTCTCTCTCTCTCTCTCTCTCTCTCTCTCTCTCTCTCT